CAGTCGGGAAAATTAAATACAGCATTAATTGGAGTCAAACACATTGCATAGCCCTCACGCTTCGAAAGAATTAACACCTGTTGCTTGTGTCGATGGAAGCCAGTACGTGTCGCACCTATACACCTATAACTGTATCCATAAATGCATCTGGCATTTACATGTGTTTATAGGCACGAATGTAATATATAATGTTTAACGCAATGATGGACGATTTCTTTAAGACCAGAATTCACGGCGTATTGTACCGCCCGCCCTTTACTCCTACTTTGTCCCCGCTTTCGGTGATGTCTAAAAACGCCACGGCTCCGTGATATTTTAGCATCTCCATTGTCAGATACACCCCACTGTTCTGTCAATCAAATATATCAGTAAAAGTACTCGCTCTTGAAACACCGTCCGCTATGAGTGCGAGGTAACCCCAGTGGACAAATTGATTCGAGATGAATCTGTCATTGCAGGTGCGCAAAGGCCGTGTCACCGTGTCCTGATTAAACGACTCAGTAGATAGCTAGGAGCAAGGGGGCGGTGCAGTACTCCGTGAAATCTGCCACTGCACGAATCATTCGCTATCTGACATGCTCGGGAGTATCTGAACAGCTCAAGTCTGAATGCATGCATACATATATGTAGTGCGCACATATCTATGTGTGTATGTATTCATGTACTCGCATGTATGATTACATATATTCCCGGACAGTTAACACACACTTGTCATTAATTTGGGACCATCAGTCTTCTTGTCTATCAGTAGCACAGATTTTTTGTCCTTGTACCTTTCACCTGTCGCTTGCATTTTGTCAAATTTTCTCTTTTTGTTCGTGTATTTCTGTTTCCTTATTTCGGTTTGTGGCTCTATTTCCATTTTTCTAGCTTCGCTGAATATTTCTACCTGAATCAGTTTGCTTAGCCTTATATTTGTCTTGTTCGTCCACGTTTTTCTGTTTTCAGTGCTCATTTAACATTCTCTTTATTTGCTTGTCTTTCTGCCTCTAATACTGTGTCTGGCTTTCTGTGCATCTGCCTGTCAGTCGTTTTTCTTTCTGTCTGTCTGCCCGTTTTTTCTCCAGCATTTTGAACCAAGCTTGATAGAAAGCAAAAATACAGTTCACGCTAAGAATCTTCACCACTGACAATATTTCCCGCCGAGTCTATTAAGGGTCGTGTTCATATGTTAATAAGCGACCGCCAGTGGCAACATTAGCCATCGGTGGGTAGAAATGTTTGAACCTTTCCAGTGGTTTACTTCCTCGTGTTATATTACGGCGGTCATCGAAAATAAATGTCAAACAAATCTATTATTACAGTTCTATATATATCTACCAACCAAGTTTAGGCAAGCTACAGTCATTTCCAAAACTTATTTAGCTTCGCGCTTGATTGGTAGAAATACTCAGTCCTGAAAACAGTTCGTTGACCGGAGATAATAAGAATAATGAAATATTAATTTATGACACTCAGGAAAGGGGTGGCTTCTCCCCCTTACAGACTAAACTCGCAAGGTGTTTCCGGTTCAGTTGCAGACGCGCAACGACTGTCTTCAGAGCAACGATCAAATCTTCTGAAAAGGAAGATCAGCAGGAGGCCAATAAATCTACCAGGTGGCACACACCCAAATCTTAAGGGAAAATGTTGTGCTGAATGAATAATTTGTCAACTAATGAACTGAAACGTTTTGTGACGAATATCCTACAAAAAGCCATTTAGAAGAAACCTGACAAGATAGTCGTTAGGTTTACCAAAAAAAGTAATCATACGCAAATTCTTCAGCTCAAACTTTGCGACATCTGACACTCGTTTCATTCTTCATTCAGAGAAGTGACAGTCTCAGTACACAAATTTCAGCAGAGTTCTCGCAACATTTTCTGTCTCTAATATCTATATGATCCAACAGATGTTATTTTTAACTCCATCGCCTGATTTGATCCTTCAAGAATAAGTTGGCATGGTCTCATGGTCATTCTCAGTAAATTCATCACATGGAAGTTGTTTCCGGACATCCTCTTCTTTCTTTCCATAATTTATTACGAGGGATCTCGTACGCAGAAAATTATAAATTGTATTCATTGGGGATTCCATTGAAGCGCTAAGGCAATCGAATGCCTTATGTTGTTCATGTGCATAGTTCATCATTGTTAACAAATGAATTGATGTTAAGTGTTAATGGAATTCAGCAGTGAAGCAAGTCAGTGATAAATAACTTCCTAATCATATATAATACTAGTACACATGACTGGAACCGGCTATGTCTTCCGATTTCGTGGTTAGCGTCGCAAGTTTACAGTTTCGACCGGAAGGACCGACCGGTAAATTAATATTTTGTGGTCATGCTAGCATTATTTACTCCAAATAAAAGGAAAGTTTATAACCACCAAGTGTTACGTGACTGGCTAACACTTTCAAAAGGACATTTCCGCCGCCATTCTTTCCACGAAGTTGATAGGTGGGTCCCTGATACCCATTTCCTTGTTATCAGCCAACAGTGCTATATATTATTAAAGGCAGAGGTCAATAGCAAGTTCGTGGTAAGCACGTTGTGTAGTCTCCTGTTTTCTTCCCAGTAATACTTATTTAACAAGCTCGGAAGAGAAAACGGCCTGTGACCGGGGCTCAGACTCTGGACCTCATGATTCTGAGTCAGACGCTCTACCGACTGAGCAACCCACATTCTGATAGAAACTCCTTTATCAAGGGAATTCGTGGATAATGCAAAGATTGCCGTTGATCTCCGGAACTCGAAGCCGACTGTTTCAAGGCGTCATAGGCAGCTAACGCCATATGGCTGCAAATTTCACTATGAACATTTTATATCAGCCCATTTTCAGGGCGCAAGGATGAATGCACAATTATCATTGAATAGTAAAGATGACTTAATTTTCATTTAAACGCAGGATTTATTCGGCGTCAGCACATCCGTTACCAGTAGATACACTTCCTACCAGAATGCTCATTGAGAAATGCTGCAGCTATATGGTATTTCAGCTCCTTAAGTGCGTCTCTGCACTTGAACTGGACAAAGACGCTATCAATCACCAAATAAGCTATCCAATATCCGCGTGGGAACATATATGCAAATCATTAGGTGACAAACACAGAATACCAAATTTACTGGTAACATTATAAACGAATCATCCTCTTATACATATCATCCTTATATCGTACATATCCTCTATGTTCTTTGAAAAGAACCGTTCTGTGACAAAATTTTCAAACATGCGCAATTCGTTGCCGTGTTTCGACATCGAAGCCAACTTTTAGTTTTACAAAATCATTCAAAAGTTAGAATATCATATTGTCGCAGTCGGAAAGAACACTTTTTAAACACTTCTTGAATAACAAGCGGAACAAAATCGTAGTAAAACCACGGATCAAGTTTAAACTATTTCGTGAGATATGACATAAACCTACAGAACAATCTACAGTAAAGTTACATAACAAATATGCTGTCGCAATTTGTTTGTTTCAACCGCTGCTTAGGACGATTCGTTGAGTTGCGGCAAACGATCAATTTGTGCCGTTTCGCTCACTGGCGTTGGTGCATGGTAAACATCAGAGGTTGCTTCGATTCTTCGGTTAAAATTCCAATGCTGTTCCTGGAATTTAATAAAATATTAAAGACATCGCAATTTGATTAAGCAGAAATATTAACGCTGGAGGAGGTACTTTAAACTCGTTTCGTTTATGGATTAGTTTTAACGATGTTACTTAAAATAAGTATTTTTTAATCGCCAAAGATCTTGCATGCGTTTACTCCTCAGAGAATGATATAAACGTATCGCCAACGTTTCGGATCATACTTGATGTGCTCATTGGGGACAGCTTTAAAAATATCAACGGTCATGTATACAACAAAATACGATTAACAAAACAGCATAAACAAGTCAAAAATAATATAGTCAATCGACTGACTGACCAACAGCGACTCTTCAGCTAGTGTCTCACGAGCTTGTACAAGACAGAAGGTTTGGTATGTTTCTGAAGTTTGTCTTTCTACCCGATGCGCTTGATAAGTTTAGAGCCAGAAGGCAAGTTTTGGATCTGTAAAGCAGACTAAATAGTTTGGGAAACAGAGGTGATGAGGCTCATCCAATCCGTACAGAGTTCATTTCGTATCCTTTGTCACGGCTGGTACTGTTGTGGACTGAATGACTAATGCCTCCTCTGTGCAGTCAGTGTTTTTCTATGATGATGCCGGTACACT